GCCCTAGTGAGACTAGGCCAGCATCAGGCCCCTGGGGAATCCAGGAAACCCCAAGTCCCCCAGCCACAGATTTCAACAGACATGTTAAAAAACATTTTACAAAAGAGTTGTTATTTTGCGTTAAAGCGAAGACCTGGTTCTAGTAATAATACTGTTTATTTTAGCAAAAAAATCCAAAACAAAACCCCCAAACCTTCCTCTGCCTCCATCACTAGTCCTGGTTTGTTTTTTTGATGGCAAAATAAGTTAACACTAAACAACAATAAGGAAACACTCAACATTATAGTTACTATACATATATTTATAATATATATGTACACACAGTTAGCGCGGTCTGAGCGTTAGAGGCTGCGTGGGCGCTGGCGGAGGGGGAGAGCTGGCAGAAAGCAACCAATAGCAACCCAACCCCCTTTCCCGTGGCCCCTTGTCCCCTTAGCCCAGCTGGGTTCCTCTGATTCTCCTACGCCCCCCGTCAGAGACGATTCAAATGCCAGGCAGCAGCTGATTCCCACTGCAGGACATCTGGCCCTGCCCTGACTGCTCAGAGCAGGGCGCCCCCATGGGGTGACACTGGGCAACACCTTCTGGGAGTAAGAGCCCAAGAGAACTCCAGGGTTTGTCCGTATTCAGCAGCCTTGCTAAAGAATACTAATTACAGCGAAGGTTAAACCAGTAATCAGCCCCCCCAGAGGTGTGAGGCTCCCTTAGGGAGATCCTTAAAGGGGAAAAGCAAGGCTGGGATTCAGCACCTGCCCCCTGGATTGGGGGGGCGGGGGGATTAGAAACAGCAGCTTGACCGTGTCTTGTGTGATATGAAAGTTTCAAGGCTTCTTCCCAAACACTGCTAGGAAAAGCAGGACACTAACAGCCCCAAATTTGTTGCACTCCTCAGCTGGTAGGTTTGGGAGCAGCCACTCCATCCTTTTGTCACCTGTTTGCAGCATTTCAATTAATACTGGCTAGCAGATGGCAGGTGTTCCAGCCTGGGGTCTCCTTTATACTGAGGTCCCTTTACAGCATAGCTGCGAATTTAGATCCCCAACAGGGTGGTGCGTTAACACTATTTATTAACTCTCATGCACCCTCCTCTAAAGGGGGGGGTTGGCCCAATCATCCTCATGTCACAGATGGGGAAACTGAAGCACAGAACAGTACTTGCTTGTTTGAGCTTAGCATCCAGGGTGGGATTTGAACCCTCAACTTCTTCGCTCCCAGTCTGTTGCCTTCCTATGCAAAGAGTCCACTGCTAAGCTGGGCCTTTCTGCCAGCTCTGACCCCCCAGGGGTGCAGCTTTCCTGCAGCCAGACACCAGGAATGAGGGGGAACGCAACACGGTGTTTGTACTACGGCCGTGTCCCCCGCCTCCGAGTCACCGTGGCAAAGCCTCCACCAGCCAGCCCCTGCCCAGGGCCGTTAAACAGAAAATAAATACTGGCTGGTTTGCCTCTCCAGGGTGATGCCTTAGCCAAGCCGGCTGCTCCGGCTAAGGGGAAGCAGATGAAGGTGAGAAAGAGAAGAGGCGTGGGGAGGCCCTGTGAGGAACAGGCCTTCCCGCTGTGCGGTAAGGAATAGCGATGCAGGCCTATGACACACACACCAACGCTGGGCAAGGGGAGCACTAAGGCAGACACAGATCTGGCTAACAGGCAAGATGCACACTGCGGATTTTAGCTTTTATTAAATAAAATATATTAACATAAATTCTTTTCAATCAGTCGCCCAGAAGACCCTATTGATTTCACACGCGTCTGGCTCCCTCCTCTCCCGGGGGCTGTTAGTTAATAGCCAGCTGTTAGCACGAATCTCGCTCACCCCTCACCTGGCCACTCGAATCTGAGCTTCCCCTGCACGCCCACCACGCTGGTTTTATAAGCCACGGGGCTGGGCCTGCGTGGCACTGAGTGGTTAAGGTGCTGGGTGCCATTAGCGTGTGCTGAGCTAAGGGTGTGCAGGCAGTTCAGATGGCAATGGGATCCGAAGGCTCTGTGCTAAGATCACCCCCCCCACACACACACACTCCTTATGCCCGATTAAGTGCAGCTGGTGTAAACCAGCAGTGATTTCAATGGAGCGATGCCGATTTAGCCCAGATGAGGATGTTGCTCAAGTGTAGGCATCAGGTAACAGAAACATCCAGAGGGGGCGCCACACACTGGCTTGGTGCTACTTCGGCACCCCCAGCTGAAGGGATGAGGGATCATTCCACAACCACCCACCCCCGCCCCACTAGACACTCAGCGTTTTCCTTGCCCTGGTTTGAAAAGCATCTGGATATTTTGGGCTTTAAATAAAGGGTTTTGGTCTCCCTCCCCGAGCAGCTCCTCCCCCCACCACTCAGCCCCCGGTGCAGGCGGATTGGGAGTGCTGTGCAAGCCCCACCTTTTCTCTGATTGGCGGGGAGGGGAGGTTTCCCCTGGGAATTGTCACCATTTTGGGTGCAAATTTTAGCTCTGTTTGCAATGGAAACCGAGTTGGGCTGTGGGGGAGTTTTGCGCCCGAATAGGAATCGTGTCTTGGGGCCGAGGCACAAGTTGGATTTGCTGGCACAACGGGGTCTCTTCTGTTTTAGAAAGTGGTGCGTTGTCAGGGACCCCACTCCCACCCTGCCTCCCCCCCATTCTCAGACCTCGGCCATGTTTCCTGCTGAAACGGAGTTTCTAGACTCAGGCAGGAAAACTGAAGAACCTTGTCTGCAAACTCTCTGTCAGGTTCAACTAGTAAATTTCAATCACCATTTGTAATTAAACCCACGGGGGCCTTACCAGCAGCTCAGGCTTCTAGCCACAACCCGCTGCCAGTGCACAAGGATCCCGGCCTCCCTCCAGCACGGGGCTGGGAAACCATCTCCAGCTCAGAAGCAGGCAGGAACGGAAGCTGGTCCCCGCTCCCTGCCTCGGGCTGTAGGTTCCCAAGTGCAGCTCCCAAGTGACGGCTCCGCTCCTACCCAGGGAGAGCCCGCAGGGATGTCAGCTGACTGCACCCCTTCTCCCTGGCACTAGGGGAGCGTTCGGCACTCCCCGGAGAGGGTGGAACATCATGACGGCTGCCCCAGAGGGCACCGGATCTTGGTGGCTGCCCCTGGCCCCATATCATGACAGCTGCATGAGCGTGGACTCCCCGTTACGACGCACTGGCTCCCCTGCTAGCCCTACAGGCCAGGCCCCCTAAGCCCATGGCTTCGTCCCCGGAAGGGCTGAGAACCCTCAACCCCTTCATGTCCTTAGGAGATAAGGGCAGCTCAGAGCTCAGCATCCCAGACCAGAGTGGGCCCAAAGGGCCACACTAGAGGGTACCCGGAGCAGCTCAGCACTTGGCAGGGTCAGCTGGCTAATGGAGAAGGGGGTGTTTGGGGGCAGGTTCAGCATTGGGCTGCCAAATGGAGAAGGAACGCAAAGCCTGGCCCTTGCCCTGGCTGATCCTCCTCTCCTCTCCCCCCCCCCCGCCAAACCCATGGCCCCTGCCTTCTGGAATCCCCCCACACCTCAAGCAGCTGCTGCCCCCGGCCATTTCCAAAGTGGAAGGAACTTTGGCTGAACATTCCAGAACCTTCAGGCCACCAAAGTTCCGTCCAGCAAAGGGGCGCGGGGGAAGGGCCCCCACCAGCAGGGGGTGATGAAGAGCGGGTTGGATAGGAAGGCCAGGGGGAGTGAGAGGGGAGGGGGTGGCCAGTTTCCACCCGTGATATGGAGGAATGGCACAGAGTCAAGAGCGGATAAACAGGGTCACGGCAAAGGCCCCCCCCAGCATGCGGAGCTGCTGTGAACAAAATACAGATACAAGCACTGACGCAGGGTGACCCTGAGCAAACAGAGCTGGGGGAGATCCCCAATGGAACATCCCCCTCCGAGGGCCCATGTGCTCAGCTCCCGCTGCCTTTTGCTGACACCCCCAGAAACAAACTGAACTGGTACCAGCAGAGCTGGGGCATCCCCAGCCCTCCCCCACTTCCCAACTCTTAGCGGACCCCATCCTCTCTCCATCCGGGACCCTGATCTGTCAGCTGCATGGCCGATACCAACATGGGACTGGCCAGCTCCAGCTCCTTCGCAGCCTCATTCGCAGGGCCCACCTCCCAGCCCCATGATGAGGGGTGAGGAGAAATAACGGGGGGAGGAGAGGGGCTGTGTGTGCAAATTCACGAGCACGTGTGTTGTGGGTAGGTCTGCGTGCGCGCAAAGGCACAAGTGTGTGCACATGTGACTGTGTGCATGAGGGCGCAAATGCAAGAGGGCGTGTGCTTGGGTGTGCGAGCACACGAGTGCCTGTGCACAAGTGTGCATGTGCCTGTGTGCAAAGGCGTTGTGAGTGGCTGTGTGCACGAAGGGTGCTTTTGTGCTAGCACGTGTGCACAAAGCCCCCGGAGGGTGTGCACGCGTGAGAGTCTGTGGGTGTGCTCTGGGGGAGGACTGACTGGAGAGAGGATGGGGAGCGGACACTGACGGGGCGGGGGCTGGTATCTCTACCCAATACCCCTGTCCCAACCTAGCCCCTGGGCTTTACCCAGGTCTGGATTCCCTACCCTGACCCCAGGCCCGCCCTCACCCACCTTCCTCAGCTGTGACTGGGAGGGGCCTGGCAGCTCCTTCGCATGGTGTCCGGGGGGCAGTCTGCCCGTGCCGGGCTCCTTGGTGCGGGGAGGGTGCTCACACGCTGGGCCCAGACCCTGGGGAGCAGGCACAACGCTCCAGTCCCTGCCCCCCTGCTGCGGCACAGCCTCCCCGGGTGCTTTTGGGGCTGGGGTCCTGGAACAGTTCTGATCCTGAGAGAGGAACTGGAGCTGCAGGGGGGAGGAGCTGCTGGGTCAGTGGGACAGCTGCCCCTAGTCGCACCAACTGGGTGAGTCTGCTCTCCCCAAGCCCCCCACCCCCCAAACCCACAGCTCTCATCACACCAGAGCCCTTTAACTGCTTCACAGTGAGTTACCCGCTTGGGGACCCCACTGGCCCCTCCCCCACTCTCCCTCCATTCCTACTTTCCCTGCCCTTCCCCCCTCTCTCTTTTCCTTCCTCAGCTCCCTCCCCCCTCCGGGCTCTCCTCTGGGGGATGTTCCCTTTAGATCCAGCCCCATCTCCCCTAACAAGGGGGCACGCATGAGTGCAGACCCAGCCTGGGAGAGGGGGAGGCATGGATCTCCGCTTGCATAGGAATGTCCCCGCTCCATCCCCCGGGGCTCATCCGTATCAGCCCTCCCATCCCCAAGGCCAAACACATGCAGGGGAGGGGGGCAGTAGGACTGTGTTAGTGACCCAAGCTCTCCCCACACCATCGGGTGGCAGGAGGTGAGGCGTGGCGGGGGAGGGGGGGCAAGCGGGGCTGGCGGGGTGGGGGAGGGGATGACAGTGGTGGAGCAGGGGTGGGGGGGTTAAAGTGGTGGGCCTGGCAGCCGACCCCTTCTTCCTCCTCCCCCACCCCCTCAGGCTTTCTTGGGTGGGGGGGCCAGTTTGATGATCTCTTCTTCCGAGGGCTGCCGGATGATGTCTGCAGAGAGATAGGGGAGGAGAGTGAATGGGGGTGCTGGGGGGGGATTTCCTCACTACCCCCCCCCCATTTAACCCATAGGCTGGCCTGCCCTGGGCTCTGTAGGACTGTGAGGGATGTCACCCCCAGGGGGAATCCCACACAGCAGCTAAGGGCCGGCAGTGCCAGGAGCAGGGGTCCAGGCCCAGGGCCCTGCTCGGTTCTGGACACGTCCTGGGCTTGAGCGCCGGCAGGTGGCTCCGTGCCTCTGAAACAAGGGGGGGCTCAGACCGGGGAACCCCAGGAATGGCCCCTTCCTCCGCTGCCCGTAGACCCACGCGGGGCTCCACGCGGAAATCGCACATGGAGGAAAGATGCATCCTTGTGACCCCACTGCGGCCACGGGGCTGGTGCCAGGCGGGTCCCGCGCCGCCCTGTGGGACTGTTCGCGTCGGTCACAGCCCCCCGCCGGCCCCAACGCTGCCTGCCGTGTTTGGGCTCCCACAACGGCAGGAGCAGGGTTAAATTTGGGCAGTGGAGGGGGGCCCCCCATCCCCTAGCCCAGCGCTCAGGCTCCCAGGTCCAGGCTGAGTCCCCCTGGGCCTTGCCATCTGGATCCTCACTGGAAGGTCTGGTCCCCCTTCAGCAAAGTCACTCAGCTCCCCCTCACCCCCGCAGGGGGGATCCAAGCCCAGAGAGACGTTGCTGCTACTTGAAGCCCAGGGAGCCAGCACCAGGCAGCGCTGCCCCTCCACCCCCATCCCGTCCCTCAGCCCCACTGGCAACTGCAGGTGCCAGGAGTGTCGTGGGAGGAGGTGGTGCTGGCCTGGTTACTGTGGGTGCCATCCTGCTGGGGCCCAGAGGGGAAGGCGGGACTATCGCAGTGAGGGGGGGTGGGGTGGGTGGAAAGACTGTGGCAAAGACCAGCCCTGTCTCCCCAGTGCCTGTTGCCTAGGGTGACCAGGTGTCCGGTTTTTGACCGAAACACCCGGTCGAAAAGGGACCCTGACGGCTCCGGTCAGCACCGCCAACCAGGCCGTTAAAAGTCCAGTTGGCAGTGCTGCGGAGCTAAGGCAGGCTAGTCCCTACCTGGCCTGGGGCACTGCGCTGCGCCCCGGAAGCAGCCAGCAGGTCCGGCTCCTGGGCAGGGGGACCACAGAGCTCCGTACGCTGCCCCTGCCCCAAGCACCGGCTCTGCACTTCCATTGGCCGGTTTCCGGCCAATGGGAGCTGGGGGGGGCGGTGCCTGCGGGCGAGAGCAGTGCACACCATGGAGCTTCCTGTCCCCCTCCTGGACCCCAGAGCCCTCACCCCACCTGCACATCAACCCCCAGCGCAGAGCCTCCTCCTACACCCTGAACCCCTCAGCCCCACCCCAGAGCCCTCACCCCCTCCTACACCCCAACCCCCTGCCTCACCCGCAGCCCCCTCCCATACTCCGAATCCCTCAGCCCCGACCCCCAGCCTGAGCCCTCCCTCCCTCCCACACCCCAACCCCCTGCCCCAGCCCAGTGAAAGTGAGTGAGGGCGGAGGACAGCGAGCCACTGAGGGAGGAGGAATGTAGTGAGTGGGGACGGGGCCTCAGGGAAGGGGCGGGGTAGGGTGTTCAGTTTTGTGCCAATAGAAAGTTGCCAACCCTACTGTCGCTCTGCATTCCCCCACAAACACCCTGCCCCAAGTCTCTCACACTGCTCCCCCGTGCCCTGGCTGCTGGGAAATGCCTTTCTCCCCAGCGTCTGGCCTTTCCCAATAACCCCAGGCAGGGACCAGCGCCCCACGTCTCCTGCCACCCCTGCAGCAGCACCCAAGAGGGGACGCTGGGGGCACCTCACACCCCAGCCAAACCCTGAGGGGAGGGAGCCCGGGGTCTCGTGTCCCATGGGTGGGGGA